GGTAGCATGTACAAATGCAGCTTGATTTTTTTGGTAGGGCTAGATTATAGTTGAAGATATTAGGTCAGAAATGCATTTATGAGCTGGGTATGGCAGTACACACCTGTAATTCCACCACTTGGGTGGCTGAACAGGAGGGTCTCGAGTTCCAGGCCAGCCTGGGCTACGTAGTGAAACTGTCAATAAAAATGCATTTACTGCACTAAATATGCCCAGCATAATAGTATGGATTGTATTGAATGCATGTTGCTTTCATACCACTGTGAAGGCAAAACATAAGTCGAAGACTGCCTATAATAAGAGTAAATGCAAATCGGATCAGCTCATATGACTGAAAAAAAACGGAGGAGAGGGCCTCAGGATCTGTGGGATTGGTGCTCAGGGCACGTTTCTAGTCTCAGGGGGCTGTTTGTGCTCACTTCTCAGCCTGGCATCCTAGGAGGAAAAATGGCTATAGGAACCCCAGGCCACATATGCCACTGTCTCATTAGGAGAGAACTGCTCCTCTTGATCAAGTGTCCAGAGCATCTCTGAACTGTTTTAGGTTATGCTCTTGGCTCTGGATCAGTCCCCAGGGCCAGGACAACCATTCTGATTGGCTTATCTCTGGTTACCACTAAACCTGAGCAAGTGACTGAAACAAAGATAGGTCAAGATGAATGGCTTGGGGTGGAATGGATGGCAACAGATTCCACTCCAGGTTTGTCACTGTGGTAGCCAGCAGTAATAACTGGTCTCCCCAGCATCCATTTCCCCCTTTGGCTATAACTCTAATTCATATTTGGATCTTCATTCCTTCCCCAATATTTTCTTGAGATAGGTCTCATATAGTTCAGGTTGGCCTCTATATAGCTGGGGACGACCATGGATTTCTGGTTCTCCTACCTCCATCTCCCAAGTGCTGGGACTACAGCCTTGCAACACCACATGGTTTTACCCTCCCCATTCTTAAGATTATGTGCTTCTGATGGAGCCTCATTGCCCACTGGAGAGAGAAGCATGTGACCAAGGCATAGTCCAAAGCTAGTGAAACTGGTTTCTACTGGGAAGGAAGGCAGCTAGGATACCAGGTGCTCATCTGACCTTGACACGAAGAGGGCAGAAGGTATGGGGTCATGGGTGGAGAGAGGTGGAGTTTGAGACTGATGTAGACACCTAGAGCACAGGGGTAAAACACCAAGACCATTCCTATACTTCATTTGTAGAGGTTATACATTTCTTTGCTCTGCTAAAGGCAGTTGGGCCCATTTCTTCCACACTCCCATTCTGCTCCCTCTCCAGTTTCATGTAGCTCAGGCTGGACTGGAACTCACTATGTAGTCTTGAAGATGGGATCCTTCTGCTTCTGCTCCTGGATCCTGGGATTTACAGGTGTGTAGTACCAGCTGCCAGTTTTGCCAGCATCATAAATCATGCCATTCTCCATCCTTGTCCAGAGCAGCAAATGCCACTGACCACTGAACAGTGTGTGTGTGTGTGTGTGTGTGTGTGTGTGTGTGTGTGCAGTTACAAACTTCAGCCAAAGCTTTACCAGCCACCAAATGCATTTGTTTGGAAATGGAAAGCATCCCAACCATGAAGACATGGGAGACTACAGATGAGATGGCTTCTACATCAGGGCAAACTATAGCCTGTGGCCCAAAGCTGGCCCACCATCTGTCTTCATAAACAGCTTGGCTGGGATGCAGCCACACTCTTACAGTTTTGTGCAGTGGCACAGTGGCAGAGGACAGTTGAATAGTTGCAAGAGATCATGTGATCCACAAATCTAAATAAAATATTGGGAAAGTTCCCCTGAAAGTATCTGTGCCCCAAACAGAAGCAGCACTGAGTAGTAGCCCTCCAGTCAACTTGGGAAAAGCAGATGTTCACTGAGTCAAACTTACCCAGGAAAGAGGTGAATGGGAGATGTCCCTGTCTGTGCCTTTGCTCGGATGTGGTCTATGCAAAATTTGTATCTTTTTAGGCCACGATGAGCATCTAGACAGCCTAAAAGTATAAACACATCCATTTTCCACCTGGGGCCTTTGTCCATTCCTATGAACCCAGAAACGAGCTATTGGTGAACTCCTGCTGCTTGCTGGGACCCACTCTAATAAGGTGGCTGGAGAAGCTCTTCGGTCTGCATCTTGTCAGCAGTGTTACCTGCACACCGGACATCCAAAGCCGGTGGATTCCGCCCCTAGCCACTACCATAGTGTACTCAGGACCATCAGACAGCTTCTTTAAAAACTCTGTGGTGCTGGGGATGGAAGCCAAGGCCTTGAGCATACTAGGCAACTAGGCTATATCTCTGGCCCAGACAGCTCCATTTTTCATTCCTGGTTCCCGCCATAAGTACACTATATACAGTTAATACTGGTGAAATAGCTTAAGGGGCATACAACCAACCACCTCTTAATGCTTTCTTTTTTAAATTATAATTTGTGTGTGTGCACGTGTTGCTCACGTGCCAGAGTGCACATGTGAAGGTCAGAGGACAACTTGGAAGAGTCGGATGTTTCCTTCTACCTTGTGGGTCCCAGGAGTTGAACTCAGGTTGTCAGGCTTGGTGGTATGCTTCACCTGCTGAGCCACCATGCCAGCCCACGCATTTTCTAAACTTCATCTCTGAGTTAAGACACCAGGACACAATATAGTAAGCTCTGAGTGAGGCTAGCCCTTAGCAGACCTACTGTGGAACTGTTGTTGAAGCATCCTTTATGGCCTCTGCTTCTGCATGATCTTCCTGACAAGTGGCTTCCTACAGGGAACTACTGCAGAACAGCTTAGGCAAGGACCACGCTTTGCTTCTCAGTGTCTCCTAAGGTCTATGTGATAAATCTCTCAGAATTTGTCACCAGGGAGAGTCTCAGCAGCTAGCTTATTTCTCCATCCACTAGAGCTCTACAGTAACCTACTCTAGTCTTTGTCTTGACCTCAGGAAGCTCTGGTTAAGTGAAGCCTAGTTCTGAGAGTCGCCGTTTCTTCCTTTCCCCTCTGAGTCCCTGGACCTCTGTGGTGCTTTCTTGAGGGTTTTAGTCTCTAACACCCTCATGACCTAGTTGATTAGTCAGGCTTTATGCTGTTGGTATAGCCTTGCTATGGGAAGATATACTGCTGCTTTGGACTTCAAAGAGGCTCTGTACATCCATATTCACAGACTCAGAAACCTATAGGGCTTCTGGCCAAGGACAGTTGGGATCAAGGGTCAGATATGAAGTGAAGGCCACCTAAAGACGGGCTCCTCGGTGAGTTACGTGGTTTAGGGTGGTCATTCTCTGGTTCTGAACATCACTCCTTTCTCAAAGCAGCTTTGGGAATGCTACCACCAGGTAGACACTGGGGCTGGTTTCAGCCCTGTAGATGCTAAGTAGACTCCTGACCAGAGTCTACTGCAGGAGCTGGGCCTCATCTGGGATTCTTGGGAATCTGGGGTGAACTAGAACAGTCATGGGATCAAACCTCCATCTTTCAGTAGATGAGATGCTGTAGTGATGGGGAACTCGGTGAGGCCCCAATACAACCCTGAGACTCTGGATGAAGCAGGTCAGAAAACGACTCTCCTGACGGCAGGGAGTGAAGGGCACAGCAGCAATGGGGTGGCAGTTGTCTTTCACCTTGATCTTGTGCTGTGTCTTCAGGGCTGTTGGCTAAAATCTCACCTGAGGTGTATGACTCAGAAGCAATACCATAAAGAAAGAACAGTTTATGGGGTTGGAGAGATGGCTCAGCGGTTAAGAATACTGATTGTTCTTGCAGAAGACCTGGGTTTGAATCCCAGCACCCACGTGGCAGCTAACAACTGTCCATAACTCCAGTTCCAGGGGATCCAACAGCCTCTTCTGTCCTCCGCGCGCATTGCACGACATGGGTCCACTTACATACATGCAGGCAATACACACATAAAATAAAAATAATAAAATATTTTAAAAAAAGAACAGTTTAGGAAAAGCTTCTCACCAGCATTGCCACATCAGGGGTGTTCACTCTGGCTGATCCAGGAAGCTTCCCTCCTATTCCCAGGAAGGGCTGACAGGATCCCCACAGTGGGCAGGTAGGGCCCATGTAGACACAGGTCTGTGTTTTTAGTTTTGTATTTGTTGATGTGGACATTTCCTGGAGTTGAACGCTGTTAGTGTCTCTAGGGAGCCACATGATAAATGAAAGCTTTATTTCCATAGCCCACCCTGAGGGCTGAATGGGGACGCTCTCCAGAAAAAGCATCATAAGGAAATGTCAAGACAACAGTACCAGGATGCACCCTCTCTTTTCTCCCTAGCTGGATTATACCTACCCTTCTGGGCCCCTCTTATGGGTATAGAGACAGTTCAGACCAAAGCAATTTTTTCACCTCACTTATTACTGCGGCTAATCTCCCCAAACCCCCAGGCTTCTAGTGCTGAGATCCTTTTGCCTTCTGCCAATGGTGGATAGGACACACTTGGACATATTCAGCTGCAGCCCAAACCTTTGTTAACGGGGCAAAAACTGCCCAGGGGTGGGACCTGCATTCAGAACATGAATCTGGGTTAGCTGTGTGAATGGGGTTTTCTCTGAGGTCTCTTTTCCCAAGGGGCAGGCCACAGAGTGCCTTTTTGGCCTTCCTTGGGACAGAGTCTCTCCCAGTGAACACAGTTTCCAGCTGTCCTCATGCCAACCCCTGCCTATGGCTAGGACCATCTACCCACCAGCCATGCATAATGCTTGCTCTGAAACACACAGTCCTTTCCACGGTCAGGTTGGAGAGATGTGGATGCTGAAATATAGTGTGTGGAGTGCGGGAAACAAAGTCAACTGAACTGCTCCAGGGAGCTTGCAGAGTAACTCTTCCCACTCTTGTTGGGCCCACACTCCCTCAACCGGAGGAGAAGGCATAAGGGGTGGAACCAAAATTCTTCCTTCTTGTAATCACCCACACATTGTCTAGGAACCCTGCATGCAGGAGATAGGTGGTCCCCGGAGCAACTGAGCATCCTGAAGGAAATTTTCTTGGCACAGATCATAAGAGACAACATAGAAAATGTTATTCTTTTATTATTTCAAGGAGGTAATACATAGCCCAGTACATCAAAGCAATGGGGAATTAGAGGCAGCAAATGGCCAGTCATTTTGAGAAGAGCCTCATGCTGGTCTCCGAGCTCCTGTCTGCCGGCTCACAAGAAGGCTGGGACACCGACATGAGCTTGCTGGGACTGTAGCAGTGGATGGATGACCAAACTCAGCACCCCACTGGCTGTGAGAGGGCTGATGTGGAGGCAGCAGAGACCCAGTGCACAGCAGCACTCACCCTGCCATCTGGGTTTATGAGGCTGCTGTTGATGCAGCAGCCAGCTTGTCTAGCACTTGATTTTATTTCGATGAGCCTGGAGTGGGCAGGGCAGGAATAACTCCTGAGTCATAAATTAAGGTAAAAGACTTAGTAGTGTTAATACTCTGGATGAGAAAAGACAACACTGCCTTGGAGGGTAGGCTGGGAGTCTAGGGAAGAAAGGGAAACACAGAAGAGGCCTGGGCTACAGGTACTGCCCTGGGGACCTCAGAGGACCTCTCCCAGCACATGATGGGGAGAGAAGGGGCTGGGCACTGGGGCTGCTTCCTCTGGTACAGAGCTGGACTAGAGATTGGTTTTCCACTCATAATTGGTTTCTCGGGTCTAAGTCACCACACTTAGGATAAAACAAATCTTGCTTGACCAAACATGGCCTTTGGAGAGGTGCGTGGCTCAGGTCTCCCGTGTTAGAGGGGAGGAAGGGACTCTCAACTCAAGACTTTTTTTTCCATTCCCAGCTCCCATCCTTTGTAAATGACTGGGGGTGAAGGAGAAGGCGGAAGCTTGTCCCACTGCAGCCCCAACCCAGTCTTTGCAAGGGAACTCATTCCAAGGACCCATAGCCCACACTGGTGTGCAGCTGACAGTTCAACCTGTGGGAGGGTGCCCATCTGGTGATTGAATGGTGGTGTATAGGTGGGAGTCGCAGCTGTGGCTGGGCTGCTGGGATACTCAAACACCCTCCATTTCAGCATGGTGGTCCTGGCTGCAGGCTGCAGGGAGATGCTGATTCCTCCCAGCATGCACTGCTCCCCAACCCCACTGCACAGGCTCAGAGTTTTGGTCTGACAGTTATGAAAATAATTTCAAAAATCACGCCACTGTGTATTCCAAACCCAGAGCCGATGGCTTTGTTTTGTTTGACAAGAAAGGACAAAGAGAGCCACAGCTCCAAAGTGGCTAAGGCTCACGTAGCACAGAATGCACTATGTACCAAAACGGAGAAACCTTGTCTGACAGGGCAGGTGGGCAGCACAAAGCCATGGGGTCCTCTAGTCAGTCACCTCATCTTCATACTTCTCGAAGCCTGGGACTGGCTTCTGCAGAAAGTGTGTGGTGGCCTGGATCACCTTGTCTGGTCCAATGTTGTAAACCGGGTGAGTGGGCTGCTGTAAAGAGAAGAACAGATGCCAACTCATCACCCAGGGGCACTTGGTCTGCAGAAGTCACTTGCAGAACAAGGGATCATCAGTAATATACAAAATTTTATTCCAGGCTCACATGTTCAAACACAGTATCTGCTATAAACAATTTTTTTTTTTGGTCTTATTTTGAGACAGGGTCTCCCTGTAGCCCAGCTGTCCTGGAACTTGCTATGTAGACCAGGCTAGCCTTGAACTCACAGAGATCTCTGCCTCTCTGCCTCCCGAGTGCTGGGATTAAAGGCATGCACCACCACGCCTGGCTATAAACATTTTAGAGTACATGATTACAAGATAATATTACATAGCCACTTAAACACGTGCTTTCAAATATTTAATGACATAGGAAAATGCTTACATAGGTTGAGTTCCTTTTATCTGAAATACATCAGACCAGAAAACTGTTTCAGATTTTGGAGTTTGTTGGCTTTTGGAATATTCACATAGACTAACCAGTTAAGCCTCCTTAATCCAAAACTCCAAAATCCAAACCTGTGAGTGGTGTCTGTCCTCTTGCAGAGGTAGTTCAGTTCTCAGAACCCACAACCACCTGTAACTCCACCTCTAGGGGATCTGACACCCACTTATGGCCTGTACATATGTAAACACACACATACACACACACAAATTTTTTTAATGAGGTTAAGGGGAGATGGCTCAGAGAGTGAGTGAGTGAGTACTTGCCATGCAAGCATGAGGACCTGGGTACCATAAAAAGCCAGGTGTGGTGGTGCATACTTATAATCCCAGAACTGGGGAGGCAAAGACAGAAGGATCCCTGGGGTTTGCTGGCCAGCCAGCCTTGCCTAATAGGCAAGCCTCAGAGGTTCCAGTGAGAAATCTTGTCTCAAAAAACAAGTGATGACTCCAGAGGAATGACACTTGGGGTTGATCTTTGGTCTCTGTGTGCACCTGCAAACATGTACACCCACACTCACACAAAGAAAGAGGCTGAACCATGCGTGGTGGTTCAAACCTGTAATTCCAGTACCCAGAAGGCAATGCAGGAGAACTGACACAAGTCTGAGTCCAATCTGCTCTCTCCAGCAAATTCCAGGCCAACCAGACCTACACAGTGACAATAGGAAACTCTATTGTCCATTTGCCTTTTTGCTGTTTGAAATATTTTACAATGTGCAAACAAAGGGAAGATTTAAAAGACTGAGGGAAGATAAGGCTCAATATTTATACCTGCTAGAAGTAGAACTTTGTAATATGGGTGACCATGACAATCTGCATGGGCTGTTATTTGGTCACTGCAGACCATCTCAGTTGGATTGGTCATGTCTTTGGCTGTCTAGGCTGAGTGTCTTCTGTCAGGTCCTGGTGGGGAACATCCTGTCCCATAGGGCTATCTTTTCTTATGGTGCTGGGGGTTGACCTCAGGGCCTTGCTTATAGATCTAGGCATGTACTTTACCCATGAGCTACATCCTTAGCCTAGGGCTTCTGCCTTATGTGGGAAGAAATGGCAAATTGTAACAAATGCTATGAAGGAGGCATGGCCGCAAAGCACTGTGGATAGTTCATTCCCCGAAGAGATGGCATCTGAGCTGAGAGCTGGAGCCAGCCATACAGTGAGTAGAGGACCGTGCAGAACCTGGCATTTTCCAGGCTCTGCATAACAACTGCTTTCCTCAAAGATGGAGCTGTGGTCAGGAGTGGGCTGAAATAAAGTCACAAGACCTCTGTGCCAGTTCATACCCACCATGGCCCCACACTTCCTAGCCTCCCAACCTAACTCGTGGGTTGCAAGATGCCAAGTGGAACCTGTCAGCTTCCAACCTTGTCCACAGAGGAAACAGAGCCAGCTCTCTTAAGTCTTCTGTCCTAGAAGACTCTGTGGAAAAGGGGTATTGAACTCCTACCCGCCTTACCAGAGCATTTTCAGGCACACCCAGGACCACATCGTGCAGCATGGCTCCACTGCCAAAATGCTGGGCGATGGATAAACCGCTCAGGCAGTAGCAAGTGTGGTAGAAGTCACGTGACCTGCAAGGACAGGCAGCTCTGAGAGGGCACACCTCCCCTCCCCAGCATCATGAACAGCTCATATTTAATTTACCTTTTTCATTTACTATACATACAGAGTACCCCAGATTTACATTTAGTTATTTAGTCTACTCTGTAATAGTTGTTTGTGATTATAATCTCTGTTTATAACACTCAGGGGTATGAAACCCTATTCTATTTTGCTGTTTTGAGGTGCTCAAATCGAACCTAGAGCCTCATCCATGCTAGGCAAGTGTTCTACCACTGAGCTATACCTCCATTCATATCCTTTTCTAGTTCAATCAGTATAATGACAACAAAAAGGAAAAGAAAGCTACCAAAGCAGTAATCTTTTCACCCCATGTGAGCTAGGGGACAAGATGGGCAGCCAGAGGTGAAGGATCAATAGCACTGGAAGGAACTGCCCCCAACTGGAGTGTTTTCTCCATGCAGTACAGCACTAAGCAGCTGATGGAAAGGGATGCCCTGGGATGAAAGCCCTGGCTTTATGCAGGTCAGCCTGGGTCAGACATTCCTCCTCCACCCCCAAGAAGACACTCACTTGCCAGGTTTGTCCAGCAGGCCCCCAGCCGGGCACTGGCAGCACATCAGGATGTACTCCTGCAGAGCCTCCTGATGGAACATCCAGTGGCTCATGCTGAGGGCAGGGTCACCTGGAGAAGGACAGAGGGTCAGTGAGGCCTGGCAGGCATTGGTGGGTACAGTCTCTTCCGCTCACTCTTGGTACACTTGCTATCTTCATCATATGTCCCTTCTTCTGAGCCAAGCTTGACATATGTCAAAGAGCTGTTCAAAGTGGCAGCAGTTTCATTTGCCTTGAAGTGTACTTGGTAATGTGGATGATGATCCCAAGCCATATCTCTGGCACGCAGTGGCCCAGCTGTTTAGCATAGCCTTCCGACTGCCCCTGTTAGGGCTCCAGCACTCTACTATGAGCTCCTAAGGGCATTTCCTCTAGCACCTCTGAAACTTGTTAGGCTCTAAGCAGGTAAATTGTTTACTCTGACTTCTCTAAGCCTGAGCTAAATCCAGTCTCCAAAGTCTCAAACTTTTCTCATGACCCAAACATTTCTCCTAAGAGCTATCACTGGTAAATGCCCTTCTGCATTCCATGACACATAAGCAAAAACTGGCCAATCTGGGAATGATGCTGAAGTTAAGTACTGGGCTTTGTTTTTCTTTTCCAGTTTTCTTTCAATGCTGGGAAATGAAATCCAGGGTGTTGTGCAAGCTGGGCAAGCACTCTACCCCAGAGCTACATCCCTAGACCCTTTGTCAAGTTCAGTCAGTACAGTGAATTGTGTGAGTCACACATTTAGCAAGCAGGGAGAAGAGAGAGCTCACCATCCTAAAGATGAACACAAAATGGTTTTAAAGATGCACTTAGAAGATATGCTTCCAGTCTCTGGCTAGTTTTATACTTTGACACCTAGGCTACAAAGATACCAAAAAAATTTAAATAATAATTGAAAATACTTTTTTAAAATTTTTTTATGTGTATGAGTATGTTGCTGCATGTGTATAAATGCGCCTGTGTTGTTCAATGACCATGGAAATCAGAAGAGGGTGTTGAATCCTCTGGAACTGGAGTTAGAGACAGTTGTTAGTCACCATGTGGGTGGTAGGAATCAACCCAGGTCCTCTGCAAGAGCAGTCAGTGCTCTTAACCACTGAGCCATCTCTCCAGTGCCTCTTCCAATCTTTTTGTTTCTAAGCACTTTTCTGTGTTTTTACAATTATTATAATTTTGCACCTCAAACTTATATTCTGCTACATAATCTTCATAATCATCATTCTGATTAGCTGTACATCTTGTCCAAGTGAATGTACATAGTTAACTGAAAAAGTAATGAGAAAAAGAACAGGGCCCAAAATCTCGTGTGTGTGTGTGTGTGTGTGTGTACTGTATATATAAAACTGGGTTTATATATAACCTTATGGAAGGTTAAAGTGAATGTAGTATATAAAGAGAATATAAGAAGCCAGGCGTGGTGGCGCACACCTTTAATCCCAGCACTCAGGAGGCAGAGGAAGGCCAATCTGTGAGTTCAAGGCCAGCCTGGTCTACATAGTTCCAGGCCAGCTGGGGCTACAGGGAGACCCTGTCTCAAAAAGACAAAAAAAAAAAAAAAAGAATATAAGGAAAATAATTGTGGCTAGGGAGATGACTCAGATGGTGCATGAGAACTTGAGTTCAGATCCCAGCACCCATGTAAAGAGGCAGGTGTGGCAGTGTACACCTGTAATCCCAGAGCTGGAGCAGTGGCGACAGGAGAATCTGGAGCTCACTGGCCAGCCAGTTTACCAAATTGGTGAACTCCGGGTTCAGTAAGAGACCCTATCTCAAAAATAAGGTGAATTCCTTTTTCTCTTCCCCAATTAAGGTACAGATGACTTGGTAGAAGATGGAGAAGTGATGGGACTACCTTCTTTTACTTATTTTTTAAGTAAAAGTTTACTTAGTTCTTACCCAGCTCTTGCAATTTTAAGAAATGCTGCACTATATATCTTTATGAAAATGTTCTGTGCATTGACTAGAGCAGAATTATTCAATAAAAGGGAATAAACATTTTATAGCTTTTAATAAATTTTAACTAAACTGCTTCAAGAATTTACATAAGCTGCCAGAAAAAAAAAAATTGCTACATTACCTCTAGCACCAGTCACTTTTAAAAACTTTTCGGCAGAGGCCGATTAGATGACTCAGAGAGTAAGCCTGACAGCCTGAGTTCCACTCCCGGGGTCCATGTGGTGAAAGGGGAATGCCAACTCTCACAAATTGTCCTCTTAACATCCACACGCACACCATGGCACGCACACACCCAATCACACCCCACACACAAATAAATAAATAAATGTAATGTAAAGAGACACTTCTACCTTCAATGTGAGGACACAGCTATCCTCCTCCCAAGAGAATTCAGTGATAGAACCTGCCTGGGAAGCAGAGAGTAACACCTGCCAAACAACCAGATCAGCTGGCACCCTGGTCTTGGATCAAATCTAAGACTGCACACATCCTAGCCATCTATGGCTATCCGCAACACTAACATCCACTGACAGAATAAGGAAAAGAATCTCAAGAGTCTGAAAATAAGGAAGTATTATATCATCTTATGCATACTAGGCAAGTGTACCACCAAGCCATATATACCTAGATCTTTAAAAAATTTTACTTCGTGGTGGCACATGCCTTTAATCCCAGCATTCAGGAGGCAGAGCCAGGTGGATCTCTGTGAGTTCAAGGCCAGCCTGGTCTACATAGTGAGTTCCAGGACAGCTGGGGCTACAGAGAGACCCTGTCTCAAAAAGACCAAAAAAAATTTTTTTTTACTTCATTTATTATGATTTAATGCACACACACATTCCATGTGCAGTGGTAATATCTGGCAGGCTTGTCTTGTTCCTGATCTAAGGAGCAGCAAAGCACACGAGTATTATGTTAGTTGTATGTTTTTCATAAATGCTCATTAACATGTTAAAGATGTTTCCGTCTGTTTCTAGTTTTGTAAGAGTATTTTTGTTTGTTTGTTTTAAAATCAGGGTATCGAGTTTTGTTAAAGGCCTTTTCACTGTCAATTGAGATGATGAATTTTGACCCTCTTTGAGTTAATGTGATGTTTTACATTATTTTCTTAATGGTGAACTACTCTGCATTCCCAGGACAAATCTCACTTGGCCATAGTACATAATCCTTTCAATATATTGTTTAATTCAGTTAACTAGTATTTTATGATTTTTTTGCAACTTTATTGATCATCTAGCTTGATCTTTGTATAATTAAGAGGAATTTTTAAAAATTAGTATATAGGGGGGCTGGAGAGATGGCTCAGTGGTTAAGAGCACTGACTGCTCTTGCAGAGGACCCAGGTTCAATTCCCAGCATCCACATGGCGGCTACAAACCATCCTTAACTCCAGTTCCAGGTAAATCCGACTCCCTCTCCTGAACCTCTGTGGGCACTGCATGACACAGGTGCACTTAGACATATGTAGGCAATAAACTCATACACATAAAAAGTTAATTAATTTTAAAAAATTAAAAAAAAAAAGAAGAAGGTGGTTGGGGGATCAGGAGTTCAAGGTGAGGCTGTCTCAAAAACAAGCAAACAAACAAACAAAACCCCACAACTAAAGATTCTTTGCAATCCTTAAAACAATTCCAGTAGAATTTATACTGAATCACAAGGGCCCCCAAACAGCCAAAATTATCGTGAAAAAGCAGTTGGGGGACCCATAGTTCCTGATTTCAAATTTTATAGCAAAACTACAATCAAAGTGATGTGGTGTGGTCCTGGCCTAATGACAGACATATAGAACAGTGCAATAGAAATGAAAATCCAGAACCAAGCCCATATACCTATGGCCACCTGGTTACCAACAAGGGTGCCACATCCATTCAGTAAAGGAAAGAACAATCTTTACAACAGATGGTCCTGATAAATGGATTTCCACAAGCCAAAGATAAAGTTGGAGTCCTATCAGCTCAGTGGTAGAGCATGTGTTTAGCATATAAGCTAAACAAGAGAGCCTGCATTCAACCCCAGCAACAAAAACAAAAACAAAAAACCTTTACCTGGTGTGGTGGCTCATACCTGTAATCCCAACACTTGAGGGGCTGAGGATACAGAATTGCCATGAGTTCAAGGCTAGCCTGTGTTCCAATGAAACATTCTGTCTCAAAACATGAAATAAAAACAAACCTTTAAAAAATGAGTTGAGGGCTGGAGAGATGGCTCAGTGGTTAAGAGCACAGGTTGCTCATCCAGAGGACGAAATTTCAGTTCCCAACACCCATATGGCAGCTAAGAACTGTCCTTAAGTCCAGTTTCAAGGGATCAAATGCCCTCTTCTGGTCTCCATGGGCATTGCACCCATAGGTGCACTTAAATACATACACATAAGATAAAAATAAATAAATAGAATATTTTTTAAAAAAATAAACCAAAATTGATTCATACCTAGGCATGGTGTTGCATGCCTTTAATCCCAGCACTTGGGAGGGAGAGACAGGCGAATCTTTATGAGTTGGAGGCCAGCCTGATCTATAGAATTCCAGGCCAGTCAGGGCTACACAGTGAGACTGTCTAAAAGTAAAAATAAATCAACCGGGGTGTGGTGGTGCATACCTTTAATCCCAGCACTCAGGAGGCAGAGGCAGTCGGATCTCTGTGAGTTCAAGGCCAGCTGGAGCTACTGGGAGACCCTGCCTCAAAACAAAACAAAACAAAAAACCAAAAACAACAAAAATAAAAACCAACAGCAACAACAAAAAATAATCTAAATATGGGAGCTAAAAATCATAAAATTCTAGCAAAAAAACAAAGATGTGTCTCCATGACCTTGAGGTTGGCATTGGATTCCCACATGATACCAAAATCATAAGCAAGAAGAGAACAAAAGAAGTAAACTGGCTCCATCAAAACGGAAACTTTCATCGTGTGAGGTCCTGGGTTTGATCTCTAGCACAAATAAATATATGGTTTTTTTTTAAGGTAAAGAAAAGGCCAGGCATTGTGGTACACACCTGTGATTCTAGCACCTCGGAGGCTGATACAGGAGGATTGATCTGAGTTCTAGGCCAGCCTGGGCTACCTTGTTTCAAAACAACAAGAAAAGGTAAAACGAAATGGTATCATTTATCTGTTCTGCATGCCATTCATTACTAATTAAGGTGAATTTTTTCTATAACTCTTTTTTTCTACTCTGTCTTCTAAAATCCAAAACAATTATTAACCTTGCTTTTTATTATATTTTTCCTTTTTCGATAACATAGCTGTTCCTCTTTCTTCTTTTTGCCCTTTTGTTTGGTTATATAAGTTTAAAATAAATAGTTTATGGTTAAGTTATAATCATGTGGTTGAATTTTCTTTGTGATTTTTTTCCTGTAAAAATCATATTCAGCCAAGAGTGGTGGTGCACGCCTTTAATCCTAGTACCTGGAAGGCAGAGACAGGTGGAGCTCTGAGAGATTGAGGTCAGCCTGGTCTACATAGTGAGATCCAGACCAGCTGGGGCTACAGGATGACCCTGTCTCAAAAGTCAAATAAACAAAAATCATATTCAGTGGGTATGGGGTTTGAGTGGAGAGTGTTGGAAATGTTCTAAAACTGATTGTGATAAAGGTAGTACAATTCTATGGATACCTTAAAAACACCGAATTGCATACTTCAAATGAACCATGTGTATGGCATGTAAACTTATCTCTATAACCTGTTATTTTTAAAAGAGCATTTGTTGAAACTTTAGGATAACTGTATAAAAGCTTCTATATATAATATACCCTTATGTCATACCCTATAACAAATGAAAGACTATTAAATGATAGTCATTTAAGACAAAGCAAATGATAATCTATGGCTAAAATCACTGTATTTCCATCACTTCCTACATCACTGAAGTTTAAAAGCTCAGAGTTCATAAACTCCAAAGAGCTTCTGGAGACTCCTGAGCTGGGACACCAGCACACATGATCCTGGCAGGATGAAGGGTGCAGTGATTACAGGGTGGTAACTGCATGGAAATCAGTTTCTTAAATTTGCACCTCTGCTTCAGTTACAGATCCCGATTATAATGTTATTTTGCATTTCAAAGGTTCCTTTCATCTACAAAATCAAAAGTCTTTCCCAACTACAGCTCAAAGCTGCAGCCATATGTAGCTCAATTTTGCAGGTGTACAAGGCCTAGGGTATGTTCCAAAGAGCACACCAAGAAATACGTATCTCTCATCAGGTGTTCCTAACCTTCTGACATTGCACCACGATGTTGTCATCTACAAAGTTCATGCTCCAGAGCCTCCAAATTCAGTTACAAGAAAAAAAATTTGCAAAAGAAAAAAACCCTCATAATATTTTAATTAAATTTATAATATATACATATGTATATATATGTGTGTGTGTGTATATATATATATATAGTGACTTTAATTTTTGTAGCACAATAAGAAAGCAACCTGTGCCAGGCATAGTGGTGCACATCTTTAATCCCAGCACTCGGGAGGCAGAGGCAGGTGGATCTCTGTGAGTTTGAGTCCAACCTGGTCTACATAGTAAGTTCCAGGTCAGCTGGGGCAATAGGGAGACCCTGTCTCAAAAAGACCAAAAAAAAAAAAAAAAGATTTCTCAAGGATCTGTGACTATGGCCCAATACAAAATCATAAACTTAATTAAAATATTATGAGTTTTTTTTTTCCTTTGCAATTTTTTTTTTTCTTGTAACTGAATTTGGAGGCTCTGGAGCATGAACTATATGGAGAGAGAGATACCCACTATATTGTCCTGGCTGGCCTGGAACTCATTGTATAGACAAGACTAGCCTTGAACTCACAGAAATCTGTCTGTTTCTGCCTCCCAAGTGCTGTTTCTGCTCCAAGTGCCACCATGCCTGACCACCATTTGATATTTCTAATATAAGAACTCATTCTTTTTAATTTTGTCTTTAACAACTAGAGGGCAGTCATTGGCATGGAGCTACTCAAGTCATGTGCTGAGTCAGATACAGCTGGAACAGTCCTCTGCAAGAGCAACCAATGCTCTTAACTGCTGAGCCATCTCTCCAGACACACAATACACAGTTTTAAAAAAAGAAAATAAAAATGGACACAATACAACATAATTTGCAAAGTGATCTCCCTCCCTCCACTTCCTCCCCTTACCCATTGTCAGAGAAGCTTTGTGCCTGCTGCCAGGGAAAGCCGGGTGTGCGCCGGCTGGTGTGTGTATGACTGCTCTGTACCTGGCCTTTCACACTTTATGTAGCATCCTGGAAAGTGTTCTACATACAGCCACTGTTTGCAGCTACCATTCAGACAGATCGTAATTTATGTAACCACTCATCTCTCTCTTTTGCTTTTCTTGAGACAGAATTTCATTATGAAGACCTGGCTAGCCTGGCACTCCCTATATAGACCAGACTGACCAAGTAGCACCTGAACTCAGAGATCCACCTGACTGTGCTGGGACTAAAGGTATGTGCTACCACACCCAGCAATCACTCACCTTTTGATGGGCATTTTAGGTTTGCTACTAAAACTCTACTTCAGTATGTATTCTTTGCTAATATCTCTGCAGGTGAATTCTTCACAATGCACTAGCTGAGTTCAAAGTCTAAGTGCTTTTAAAAGTTAAATCTCCAAACTGTCCTCCAAAACTTAACATGTCTATTTTCATTCCTACTAACAATAGAAAAAATTCCTGTTTTCCCACTCTCCCCTACACAGGTATCAATTTTTTAAACCTCTTACAATCTGATAATAAGCAGAAATAGTGTCCCACTGTTCTAGTTTGCAGTTCTTTAACCATTGGGATAACTTCTGGTGGGATTAATGGCCACCTGCAGAGTTACAAGCAAGGATATGGTGTCAGCTGGTCTGCTTTCACACACCACCTACCAACCACTGCAGGTGGCAGTCAGGTTATAAAGCAAGTCTTAACCTCATGTACTGTTTCCACATCTGCAAAATGGGCGTATCAAAAGTCTCAATTTCATAGGGCTGTTTTGGGGATTAAATGAAAAAATGTATATGTGAAGCACCCAGTAAAGCTCTTGGCACACAGTGAATGCTTGGCAAGGCTCCACTGCCTCTAATAGAGCAGGTATTACAGAAAAAGGAGTAATAACCGTGGTTCTTTTTGTGAAAGTCTAACAGCTTTGCCAGGTGCCTGACCTCACCAGCTCCAAAAAAGAGGCCACTGAACTCCAGGTTATTTCTCTTTTTGGCGACTAAGGAGTTCTGACAGTCCTACTAGTAGTCAAGCCAGAGCCTGCACAGGTTCTAGAGTGATGGCATTTATGTCCCTTAGAAACCCTGAGGCTTAAACCCAGTGATCCCAGGATGGGAAGAGAAGATAGGGACAATATTTTAAAAAAAAAATAGATACAACAACTTCAAAGAGATCAAGAAATTAAAGAACAGGGCTCATAAAGAAAAAAGAAAGCACAGGAAAGACATAAAAAAGATCTCCTCTTTCACACTTGAGCAATTAATCACCCAACTGAGTCCAAAGAAAAGTCTCCTTTTATGCCAGGGGATCTCCCTGCAGGAACAGATTGGTGCCCGGTAGGGCAGCCATGACCCCTCCTCCCACCTGTGTGCTCTGAGTCATCTGTCCTCAGAGTAAAAATGAGCAAAGAATAAGGAGGCAGCAGGCAGCCTTTGGTTCCAAGAGAAAAGGAAGGGACTGTCCCACAGCCTTTGCTGTCCACTTTGGTTTTGCACCTTCATTGGTGACCCCTCAGAAAGGAATGGGGACCTCTCCAGTCCAGTGGGGTGATGAAGTGCACTCATATTTAGGATAGCTCAATGAACTTTAAACCAAACATTTATCAAGCTTGGGTGTAGAGCACTTATCTCACATGCATGAGGGCCCTAGTTTCACTCCTCAGTACTATGGAACAAAACAAGACAAATGACTGACCTGAACCGTGGCATTAATAAAATAAAACATTTCCTTTTTATATATTTATGTATTTATTTGTATAAGTGCTTTGATGGCTGATATGTATACTGACATGTGTGTAGTACCCACAAATGCCAGAAGGGGGGTACAGAACCACCACTGGGTGATAGGAACTGAACAAGTCCTCTGGAAGAACATCAAGTGCTCTTAACCTCCAAGCTACCTCCCCAGCCCCAAATAAAACATTCCTTTAAAACAGATTATTTTGTCTGCAACAGGAAGAAGGGGGGATGTGGAGGGCAGAGGAAAACTTGGGGGAGTCAATCCTCTCTTATGAACTGAACTCAGGCCATCAGGCTTGGCAGCGGGTGCCTTTACCTGCTAAGCCATCTCACTAGCCCAAAGTAAAACATTTCTAATGGTGACAAGTTGCCAGTGCTGTGGTGTTTCTTTTCTCCTAGGTTCTGGGTCTCGGCCCATTTTTACACCTGCCTTTCCTTGCCCTGCAGTGACCATGTGTAGACTGGGTTTTTAGTTCTGACATACCAAACACAGTTCTGTGATAGGACCTATGTCTTTACACCTAGGTGAGATGGCACCCTTAGACAGGGTGGGGTTTCTCCCTTCAGATAACAGTGAGGGGCACTGGCATCCTCACAGAAGTTTAAAGGGCAGTCATCCTGCCTCACTCACAGTCAGCAGTGAGTGACCTGGGGCCATCGGAACTAAGTCCTGTTCCACATACAGCATACACGGGCCCGAGCTCCACACTAAGCTCTCAAAATCCTGATGGGCAGACCTCCTTCAACTCCTCTAAACTGCACTTGTTAGTAACTGACCAGGGAGATCATCTTGCCCCAGCAGCAACCTCACCTTGAGCATGCAGCGCACGGTGCAGCAGGGGCAGGAGGCCCGCCTGCCAGAAGGAGTAGCAGCCGTCCACCAGCTTATTACAGCGGCCCTGAAATCCACCTTCAAATCGCATCTGCCGGCTTGTCACCCATTGCTGGGAAACAGACCACAGGAAAGGCAGGTGTAAGCTGAAGAGACACAGCATGCAGGAAGACAGACTTCCACAGGCCACTCAATGAAGAGCCTTCCTGGCCCTGAGTCCGCCTGCCAGAAGGAGTAGCAGCCGTCCACCAGCTTATTACAGCGGCCCTGAAATCCACCTTCAAATCGCATCTGCCGGCTTGTCACCCATTGCTGGGAAACAGACCACAGGAAAGGCAGGTGTAAGCTGAAGAGACACAGCATGCAGGAAGACAGACTTCCACAGGCCACTCAATGAAGAGCCTTCCTGGCCCTGAGTCTAGGGTCATCCCCTCCCCTCCCCTCCCCTGCCCTCCCCTCATGGCCACAGCCATTTAAACTGATGCTTTTGAGGTAACCAGTGTGGATTACCACTCAGGGCTGAGCAGACAACCATCCTTTTTTCTTCCTTTCTTTTTTCTTAGCATAAAAAGTAAAAGTCTTCGCTATTACATTTTCATACTTATATGTCACATTTTGTTCTGACTTGTCCCCCCTCAGGTGCTGGTTCCCTTCCTCTCCCCAAATAGTCCCTCCTCCTGCTTTCACGTCACATGCACCCTCTCTTGTTCCCTCTACCCTGACGACATTTGCTTGGATCCAAATCGATGCTGATGCTGAATAAAAAGGTCACACTGGTTTGGGAGACCTGTAAAAGTCTCAATAAACACAGCTTGAGCCAGAAAAGCTCAGGGAGACTGCCAGGCCTCTTTTAGTATCACTCTCTACTCAAGGGACTTTATTCCAAGAGGACAGGAGAAATGCTGGGCTGTAACTCATCACACAACATCAAACTACTTCTTGTACCTAGGACATTCACCCTAGGACATCTGCAAATGCCCACCAGGACTAAAGGCAGAAGCCACTGGTTCTAATTACCAGATGATGGCTCTGCCTGGTTTGGCCTCCAGTTCTCCAGGGGAACTTGGTAGGCTGACACAAGAAAATCTTTTACTCTGAGGCTTTAACTGACACTTGTCACCCAGTGGCCATACATGATACCACCACCTGCTCCCTTATCACCAAGTTTTCTAAACACACTCAACTGCTAAGATCAAGATAGCCATGGAGGGATGAGCAGGACCAACTGGCTGAGCAGATATGATGTTCACTTCCTTCCCAGCCTTGGGCAGTTCTGGGCACCAGCCCTGGACCACAGAGCTGCAATTCTGCACTGAAAGGTACAGAGTGGAGTATGTCCCTAGTACCTACAGTCCTCCTAGATTGAGTTCCTGAAAGTCAACCCAAGTGACTCTTTAGAGAAAGAGGCCAAGTTCTCCCTTAAAACTGTAGAGTTTAGAGTACATTGTTGTTCATGGCAGCACAGAAAGTCTCAGTCTCAGACTCTTAAAAGGACAAAAACCTGCACTGTGAATTCATGTTATAATACATCCCCAGTCAGTCTTCAATGAACCTGTGCTTCAGGACAGTGCCATTGAATGGCAGTGGGCTAAGCATTCCTCAAGAGGAAAGCAAGGACAACCCCCAGCTTAAGTGGATTCAAGCCAGACCAACTGTTTCTCTCCAGTACCTAAGACTATGGGTTGGTTCTGCTTCTGTTGGCTATACAAAGTCATAAAGTCCTTTAGATACAGGTCCTCGTTCTTCCAAGGCACAGAGAGGGAAGGGAGTAGCTGGGTAAGAGGGAGAACAGCATTTATGGAGTACCTTCTGTCGGCCAGGGCTATTTATATATATATTCTCACTTTTAATCTTCAAAGAGTAAGGATTATTATTCCCACTTTTCAGAAGGAAAAGAGACAGCGAAGCTAAAGAAAATTAATTTGCCTGAGGTTTCTTGGCTGGGAGCAGAGGCAGGGTGCAAGCCTATAATACTATCATTATAATTTGGGCATTCTCTATTAAATTCTTTATTTGGGGTGGGATCTGGGACTTTCATGTTACATCTCTTGTTGGGATGTGATTTAAAAACAACTCACAAATTCACTGCACAAAACTGGTCATTTGAATCAATTTTCAAAACCTTCAAAGAATATACTACATAAGAGGCTTCCTCAGAATGAGGTCAAAACGTTGCTGTTCCATCACCATAGAATATAAAATCAACTCTCTAGAAGCCTCATGATGGGGGCCCAGCATCTGCTCTCAGAAAGAGCTGAATGCCAGTAGTAGCAGTTTTGCTTTAGGATGATCAGGAGGGTACATGCTCTCCCAAAGACAAGCTGACTGCTTTCTGCACTAGCCAGGGACTTGGGGTCCAGATGTAATGCTCAGGCCTTAGAGGAATTCCCCAGCTCTGCCTAAAGAAGCCACTGGAATGCTGGTGTGGAATTTTTACAGATAATCAAAGCTTGGCTCAAAAATGCTCCAAAACTTCTCACAACTTTTTCTCTTAGGAGAGTCTGAGACACATGGTAACGTCTAATCCTAAGAGACTTTTCTTGGAGGTATGGGAAAGGTACTCTGGCTCATTCCAGATGTCTAGAGCACTCAAGAAGACTTGTCTAGCCTCTCACACCATATAGAAAGTTTGAAACTATAGATAGAGGTGGGAGAAGGGAGCGAGACAGAGTAGTTGTCCTCTTCCTCAGCTGACTGGCAACTGTACCGAGAGCCCAACAACCACAACTGAAGTGTCATCCAGGGACTAGAAGCTTATGAGCTCAAGGCTAGAATCCATCAGTCCGTCCCATCACCAGACCACCCCAGATCAGAGTCCCATGGGCCAAACCGGGCCTGGGGGGATGTCAGTGAAAGCAATACTCACTAGCAAGCTCTTTAGGTTCAGGGAGCATTCCTTCTTGAGGATTACCAATGCAGCCAGGCCACAGAAGGTGTAGCCACCATGGGCTTCCATCCCTGGCACCCCGCCGATGCCACCTTCCCAGTTCTGGCACCTAGGAAAGATTGAGCAAAGCAGACTGATGGGGCATGGAGGAGAATGAGTGTCCCCTCTACCTTCTGGGTGGCATAAAATGAGTTTGCTCAGATTAAGACATAAGCTGTCATCACCAAGGATGGGAAGGTGCTGATTTGTTAACGTGTGTGTGTGTGTGTGTGTGTGTGTGTGTGTGTTCGTGTGTCTGCAGGTACACAGGTATTCGAGCACATGTGCATGTGTGTGCACATGCGTATAAAGGCCAGAAGTCAGCCTCACGTGTCGTTCCTTAGGAAAGCTGTCTACCTTGCTTTTTTTTCTGTTTTATTTATGTAATATGTATGTTTGAGACATGTAGCCCAGACTAGCCTTGAACTTCCTGATCCTTCTGCCTTACCCCACCCTCCAAGTAATGGTATTACAGATGTGGGCCACCACCCCTGAATTTAGTATGTGTTTGTGTGTTTGTGTGTGTGGTGGTGGAGGTTAAACCAAGGGCCTCATGTGTGCTAGGCAAGCATTCTACTGCTGAGTTATAGCCCCAGCCTACTTCTTATGTTCTGAAGTAGGCCTCACTAAGTTTCCAGGCTGCCCTTGAACTCTGTAGCCCAGGCAGGATTTAAACTTGTGATCCTCCTGCTTTAGCCTCTGGAGTACCTGGGATACAGACCTGCACCACCAGGCATAGCTCAAAATTTCTATAATGAACAAACACACACACACTATTCAAAAAATTAAGACAGGTTCTTAGTCTGTTGCCCAGATGGTCTGAAACTCATACACTCAAGTGATCCTCCTGCCTCAGCTTTGCAAGTAGCTGGGACTAGCTAGATGTCCCAGCCTTGAGCTCATGCCTGTAATCCCAAGAGTTGGAAGGCTAAGGCAGGAGGATCACCTGAGCTACACAGCCTGGGCTACAGAGTGAGACCCTGTCTCAAACAAATAAGCAAACAACAAAAAACACAAGAGGCTGAGATTACAGGCTCATGCCATCATGCCCAGCTTATAACTGCTCAAAAACAAACTATTTTTATTTATTCATTGTTTGGATTTTTGAAACAGGGTCTCATACTATGTAGATCAGGCTGGCCTTGAACAAAGAGATCTGCCTGCCTCTACCTCTTGAGTGTTGGAATTAAAAGCATATGCCACCATGCCCAGCATAAACTTTATTATAAAATGTTAGAATTTTCTATATATTCAAATTATCCATTTGTTATGAGAACTATTAATTTTGTGTATACTATCTATTAAGAGTATATGTGTGGAGGTGTGTGTGCATGCACATGCATACAGAGACCCACAGTTGACTTCAGGTGTCTTCCCTGATGGATCTCAACTTTATTTGTTGAGATAGGGTCTCTGGCTAAGCCAGAGCTCTCCAGTTCTGGCTATTCTACTAGTCAGCTTGCCCAGGGGATCCTCTGTCTTTATCTCCAAAGTGCTGAGATTACAGGCAGCTGCCATGCCTGTCCAGCTTGTCTGTGGTTTCTGGTGATCTGAACTCTGGCCCTCACACAAGTGCTTTATCTACTGAGCCATCTCCCAGCTCATGCATAATCTTTGGATCAGCAAGATGGGGCCTTTTCTAGGAACTGATCTTACAAAATAAGTAATGATGTGTCCAAAGATCATACTGTAAGAATGTTTGCTATATTCTCAGCGGGACATGGTGGCGTGCGCCTTTAATCCCAGCAGAAGGAGGCGGCTCTCTGTGAGTTCAAGGCCAGCCTAGTCTCCATAGTGATTCCAGGCCAGCTGTGGCTACAGGGAGACCCTGTCTCAAAAAAACCAAAAAAAAAAAAAAAAACCAGTTTACTATATTCTCATTTATAAGTGTAAAATGTCAGACCAAAAGTAGTTCAAAAGTAAAGGACAGATTATATGAACTATGGTACATCTTACAGCAAAATATAACCCAGTCATTTAAATAGAGCTACAAAGTTACAAAAATGGTCCACTTATTACATGGAAGATGTCATAAAATAACAATGTACTATAAGATCTAATTTCTAGAACTCTGAAAGAATATGCATCAAAAGATTGGTGTGATGGTTAGTTTTAATTGTCAACTTGACACATTCTAGAATCACCTAGGAAAAGAGTCTCAGTGAAGGACTGTCTAGATCATGATGGCCATTGGATATGTCAGTGAAGGACTGTTGATTATGTTAACTGATGTGGGAAGACCTGGCCCACTGTGGGTGGCACCATTCCTTGGATATGCGTCCTGAACTGTATAAGGGTAGAGCAAGTGTGCTCAGCTCCAATAAGCACACCTGCTTCCATTCTCTCTAGTCTTGACTATGGTAAGCTGCTGCTTCAACTTCCCTACTTTGATGGATTCTAACCTGGAACTGTGAGCTAAAACAAACCCTTTCTCCCCTAATTTGCTCTTTTCAGAGTATTTTATCACAGCAATAAGACTAGAACAGTTGGTTACATCTTGGCAGTAGATTACAAGTAATTTAAATTTTTTGTTTTGCTTATCCATAACTCACATTTCATCATATTTCATCTGTTTTGAGCTCTTTGTGTGTGTGTGTGTGTGTGTGTGTGTGTGTGTCCTAGTTCATGAGGATCAAGAATTCAAGGCCAGGCTAGGCAACTTGGCAAGAGTCTATGTCAAAATAAAAATAATAAGAAGGGTTGGAGCTATAGCTAAGTGGTGGAGCATTTGCCTAGCATATTGAACCCTGGGTTCAATCCCCAGCTCAAAAAGATAAAAAAAATTATGAGCTGAATCCCAGGATATGAATAGCTGAGCAGGAAGGAGGCAGCACACTGAACAGGGGGTCAGTGAGAGGCTACCACTCAACACAAACATGCCACCTTCCCCTGCTAGTCAGTCACAAGTCACAAGGTTACTATGAGCTTTACACCCTAAGCATGAACTTGGAAGGCTCTTCTCTAGGGAACGGATAAGCTCAAGAACAAAGCCCTACAGATACTGATTATCTGAGAATTCCCTGAAGAACAGCTTGGTCTTAGTTCACTCGGTGTTCATGACCTCCCAGTGGGCTTAAAAAAATTTTTTTCTGTATATGTATGTGTGCATGCTTGTGTGTATGTGCACCACACATATGCAGTGCCCTCAGAGGCCAGAGAGGATATTTGATCCCCTGTAGCTGGAGTTACAGGCAATTATAAGCCACTTGATGTGAGTCCTGGTCTTTTTTTAAGACAGGGTCTCCCAGTAGCCCCAGCTGACCTAGAACTCACTATGTAGACCAGTCTGGCCTGAACTCACAGAGATCCACCTGCCTCTGCCTCCTAAGTGCTAGGACTAAAGGGGTGCACCACCATACCCAGCCAAAAGAAGGTTTTCTTAAAGATTAGGTCAAGCTGCCTCATGAGGTCCAAATGCTGCTCTCACCCTCAATCAGAGAAGCTTCTCTCTACAATGAACACAGAGATGCAGGCTGCTTGAGGTGCTGAGAATAAGTGATGTGCAGTGTTTGGCCCTAAACAGGCCATTTATGCCACACCATCTAAGTCTCAGGGAACATCCTGGAAAAGGACTTGGAAAGAATGTAACAGCAGGAAGATAGAAGGAGGGCTGTGAAATGCTATCTTCAGGGAAGGGCACAGCCACTGCAATCCTGATCTCACAGCAGCTGTGACTGTCTGTACATGACTGGGCTTGTCAAAAACCAATCATGGATAGAGGAGGGGCTCACTGGTCCCTATTCCTCCCTAATGAACATTACTGGCTACTGATGGATTCTGGGGGAGGGACAGCCATTATCTTCAAAGTGTACCCAAAGAGGAGCCCAGCAGGCTCCAAACAATAGCTCCAAACCTAGGGACACACAATCAACCCTGGTTAAACTCACTGGGTCATGGGTCACAAAACAAAATAAGAAGACATGATTGCGGGAAAGGGACTTCTAGGGAAGATAGGGAATAGGGGTGGGAAATAAGAAAGAGTGGGGGGGTGACAGCAGTCAAAATCCACTGTATACATGTATGAACTTGTCAAAGAATATATTTGATAAAAGTTACCCCCCAATATTAGGTCAATATTACTAATTAGAAGCTATTTTAAAAAGCAAGCTGAGTGTGTCAGCACATGCCTGTAATCCTAGCATTCAGGAGGCTGAGGCAAGAAGACCATGGGTGGTCAAAGTCTGTCCTGGGCTCATAGTGAGAACATATTTAAAAAAAAATAAAAAAAGGAACTTGCTAAAGAAATACTGCAATTCACTTTCTAGGTACTGAAGTAGATATGCTTCCAAATCAGACAGTCCTGATGAACACCTAGTGCACAGTGAAAACTGATCCGCTTCAAAAGTCATCATCACAGAGGGTAGAGAGATGGCCCTGCGGTAAACAGCTCTGGATACCCTTGCAGAGAATCTGGGTTCAGATCCCAGCATCCATATGGCAGCTCACAACCATCTTTAACTCTTCCAGGGGTTCTGAGGTCCTCTTCTGGCCTCTGAAGGTACTCCATGCATGTGGTGCACAAACATACATGCAGGCAAAACACTCATACACATGAAGTTTCCAAACGGCAAGAGTAAAGATTCTCAAAGTCTGCAGAGAGGCACATGGGATGGAATAGAGAAAAAAAGGCAAGAAGCAATGTAAAACAAAACTGCCTAGAGAATAGAGCATCTTAACAGCCTCAGCAGACATCACAGGCAAACCTACTTGATTCTTGTGTAGTCCAGATTTATATATAATTCAGCATCCAGACTGGACAAATGGCTTAGCAGTTAAGAGCACTGGCTGCTGTTCCAGAGGACCCAGGTTCAATTCCCAGCACCCACATGGCAGCAAACAACTGTTCTTAAGTCCAGTTCCAGGGGATCTGATGTCCTCTTCTACACACTTTGCATGACACGGTGTACCTACATACATGCAGGCAATACACTTATATACATAAAATAAAAATAAACTTTTAAAAATTCAGTATCCCATCATTTGACATGATAATGTGAAATAACCTGTCCAAGGCACAAAGCTAATAACAAATGGTACAATTGGGATTCAACTCAGGCAGGCAGATTCCTATGTTCAGTCAGTGTGGCTGCAAGCCAGTCCTCTTTCGGACACCAGCTAGACACAATGCCACAATGCAAAAACAAGCTCCTGGGGGCCAACTGACTACAGAAAGGCACACGGAGTTCAATGGGGCTTTAACTGTAGAGCGCACAACAGCAGAGAGTTGGTCCCTCCCTCCACCACCCATCTTTTTTTCGACAGCCGCACAGCCAACTGGTAGCAATAGCAGGACAGGGAAGGGCAGCTAAAATGCTAATAGAAAGCCAATCACCTTTAGCAGGAAGAAGTAGGCCCAAAAGGAGAGCCAGAGATGGAAAAATCCCAAGTCAGCTCAAGTTTCTACCTGACCCTTGAAAGCACACACACACACTGGGCAAACTGAGAGCAGCTTCGAACCAAAACTGATCTCGGAGCTGAGCCACCATCTGCTGCAGGGCAGAATACTGTTTGAACTTTGTAGTATGAATCTGACCAAGTTCCTTGACTGCTAAAACAAAACATACTTTGAAGCTAACAGAATCCAGTCTCTACAATATATACCATATTCAGGACACAATCCAAAGCTATTTAATACATGAACAGCCAGGAAATGGGACATTTCAACTTCAAAATACCCATATGCTGAAATGATCCAGATAAGAGCCTTTTGTTTTTTAGAGACAGGGTCTCACTATGTTGCCTAGACTGTTCTTGAACCCCTGGACTCAGTGGATCCTCCTATCGTATCCTCCCGAGTAGCTTGGCCTACAGCCACATGCCACTGCACTTAGCTCCCATAGGGATTTAAAGCAAAGATAATGACCTATTTACCATAGCAAAGTGAAGAAAAGCACACCGGGAATGAATAAAAAGATGGGAAGTCCCAGTTGAGAAACAGAACGTTAAAAAGGAACCAAATTCAGAGACTGCCTCGTCTTGGTCTCTACACTACAAGCACCTTACTGCTGAGGTCCTCAATGAGCACTGGTGGCTGTGATTGCTTCTTTGGTAATGACAGCATGGGTGGTCAGAAGATGATAGAGCAATGCTTACAGAATCCAGACAAATACAGTGTACAACACTTCCAACTTAGAAATTTCTAACCAAACAATCAAGCAGGCATGCAAAAAAAAAAAAAAGTGAGATCTTAAAATGTATCTTCCAGGTGCCCTTCTGGGATCTTTAGGAGTATTATGCTTCATTAAAATGAATTCTTCTCTTTTAAAGGACAGGGGCTTCAACAAGCCAGAGAAATGAAGAAAATGTCATGCTATAAGGAAGTTTCTGGATGCCTGCTGTGCAGCAAGCTGAGAGCAATCTATCTGGAACGGAAGCAGGAGGGCAGAGGGCTGTAGGAGGGATGACCCAAACACAGACACACACACACACACAGACACACACACACACACACACACACACCAAATAAACACATACATCTGTACGCACATACACAAAAGAAAACATTCTCTGAAGTGTTTGACTGTATGAAGAATAATTTTGAAGGACTGGTAGAGAATTTGGAAATGAATTCCTGCCATGTACATCATGATATGTATATTAACTCCAGGAAAAGGAAAGCTATACAAAAAATATGATTACCATATATCATCTGGTTTCACTGTTATATTTACATGGTAATAAGTACTATTTTGATGAAAATACATAAAGTAATAGCATATGTATGTATATACAGTGTCTTTTTTTTTATTTAGAGTTTTGAGAGAGGGTCTTACATGTCCAGGCTAGCCTCAAACTCAATATGGAGCTGAAGATGATCTTGGCACTCCTGACCTAGTGTCTACCAAGTGCTACTAAGGCCAGCTTGTTTTCTTTTTCTTTTCTGTGGTTGTTTTTCTGTTGAGATAGGTTCCCACTATGTAGCTGTGAGTGGCCTGAAATTTGATATGGAGACCAGGCTGGACTCTCCTTGAACTGGCCTGTATTTGCCTCTGCCTCCTGAATGCTGGGACTACTGGTATGCACTACCACATCTGGTATTATTTTGTTTTTAAATTATGAAATACTTGAAGTACCCAGTACAGAATATAGTAGGAAAATATGCATGCATCTAACCCCCAGCCTAGATGCGGCAGCTTAGACTATGCACACACTCTAGGTCTTTATTCTTTTTAAGAAATGAACTATGACAGGCACAGTTAATGCCGTGTGTGGCATCCTCTGATGCTGCTCCCTTCACTCACTCCCTGGAAGTAGCGCCATGCCACGCCCGGGATTCATGTCTCCATGTGTGCTTTTATGCTCTCTACATGATGGTTCCCATAGAAACACAAAACTGCATGCTTTCCCTAAATGTGCTGATGTGAATGTTTTAACAGTTTTCAAACTCAGCACTGCCAAGAGAGATTTCTCCATCCTGATGCACGTAGCTCTGGTCGACTCATTTCAGTTGTTACATAATATCCCAAGATGATCACACCACAACTCCACCTCACGTTTACAAGCAGTGAACCTGAGCACTGAATCTGATCCTGGTTCTAGCAGTAGTTTCACTTGCATAGTTTGGTCTTTTGGGGGGGCGGTAATTATTTTTGGTTTTGAGACACTATCTCCCTATGTAGCCCAGGCTGGCTTGGGACTCACCACCCTCCTCCCTCAGCCTGTGGAGGCCTGGGATTACAGGCTAAGTATGGCTAGAGTGCACCACCACATGACATAGGCCTTTATAAACAGGTCCTTGTCTTTGTCTCTTTCATGCATGTGGGTGACAGTTTCTGTAGGAGTGCAATTACTGGGTCATAAGCAAGGGTGCTTTGAGATATTGCCAAATTGCTCTCTAACCTGCTTACATTAATTTAGACTCCCACCAATGCTGTTTACCAAAGTTTTTGTCCTTCACCAATCTAAAGTAAAATACAACATTAATGAAAGTCTAGAAAAAAATTTCAAGTATTTGTGGGCTTTTTTGAGACAGGGTTTCCCTATAGCCCCAACTGACCTAGAACTCTCTATGAAGACCAGACTGGTCTTGATCTCACAGAGATCTACCTGCTTCTGCCTCCCCAGTGCTGCGATTAAAGGTATGTTCCACATAAGGCTAAAAAATTTCAAGTATTTGTAAAGGGCATAATCACATAACTCTTAGACATCTCCTGTAATTTTATATTCCCTTCCAGACTTTTTATTTAAAAAATCTTATTATTTTTATTTTATGTATAAATGTTTTGACTGCTTGTATAGGAGTACCATATGTTGCAATGCCAATGGAGGCCAGAAGAGGGCATCAGCTTTCCTGAACTGGAGTTACAGATAGTTGCTAGCTGCCATGTGAGCTGGGAACTGAACCCTGGTCCTCTGCAAGAGCAGCCAGTGCTCTTAACCACTGAATCATCTCTCCAGCCCCATCTTCTAGGCTTGTAAATTTTTATTTTTTGACCACTTGTTCTCTAAAGGGGTTGAGAACCACCACAACTTCTCCCACCTTGCTATCCATTCGGCAGTGCCCTCAAAAAGATCTGGAGTGATGATGTTGGTCAGAGAAGCCACCGAGGCGGCACAGTATGCACTTCTGGAAAGACAGAAACAGAGGAGAAAAATGTTAGGCTTTACGAAAGGGCCAAAAGGAAGCTCAGACAGCATCTTGAGTGGACTGCTCCCTTTGCTAGTAAGCTGCAGTCATCTCCTGTCTTGCTCTTGGCACAGTCCATCCTCCTGATTCTCCAAGTGAGAGGTGTGACATTCTGTTTGGATAGAGTTGCTCACAGCATGGCTTCAGGGAAAGAACATGACATTCTATTCTCCTTCCCTCAACATGGTCCATCTACAGCACAGGAATTGACAGCCACATCAGTTTATGTCAAAAACGGATTTAGTTCTTTTTTCAAAGACCTAGAATGATCCCCACTTTTTCATCAGGTGTCATCCGATGTCAGCACGACTGGAGACCCAGGACTTTCGTCTCAATTAGGAATGTATGCATGAAAGGTTAACTGTACATTTTCTGTAACAGACACACTCCAAGGCAGGCCATCAAACTCTAATGGCTACTTAGCCACAAAAGGGACAGGAGGAATAAACATATCCTTAAGCCTCTAGGGAAAAAAGCTTTGATTTCAAGTACCTCAGCAGGACACAGAGAAACACACCACCATTCAATGAAAAGGCAAAAATAGAGCTAGGGATGTGGCCTAGCCTAGCATACATGAAGCCTTGGGTTCAATCCTGAGCACCACATAACTGGGTGTGGTAGTACATACCTGTAATCTGAGCACTCAAGAGGTGGAGGCAGGGGATCAGAAGTTCAAGGTCATCCTTTAGTACCTACTAAATTTAAGGGCAGCCTAGGATACATGAGATCCTGTCTCAATTAAAAAACAAACACAGGAACGTGTCTTTTGGGGGGTGGTAATTCTGTTTGTCTAACCCAGGGCCTGTTTTACTCTACTCTCTTCTACTAAGCTACAAGCCCAGCTCCTATTTTCAAAAAGAACAAATAAATAAAAACAAAATAAATAAATGCATTTCTGTGATTTGGAATAATTCTTGCCCTTCTATCCTCTCTGCCACAGTTTTTCTCAGGACACACGTTCTTTCACTCACTCCCTCTGTCATGGAACACGTCCATAAGACTGTCTTTTCTCCCCCTGTACAGTCTTTTCGAATACCGAGCATGAAAAGACAAAAATTTGTTCTAATTCTATTCACAGATCCTTTCTTAAGGGCTTGGAAGGAATATATAGAAGAGGAAAAATAAGGCCTGGGTCCCTATCTGATTCACCATGAAGCCGGACTCACTGAGGCATTCCACAGAAATCTCTGCAGAAGTCAGGGGCATGACTTCCTACTAGTACTGTTACCAGACTGGCTCCCACTAGCCAAAGGCACAGCAGGGGCCAAGTTTCACCAGCAGGCACCAAGAGCAGGCAGTAGTCAAGCGTGCCAGTGCCAAATGTTGTCATTTACCATATGCTAACTCTGAAGGCATGATCTAATTTCCTGAAGGCATTGAGCCGCTCAAAGAGCTTCAGCATATCTCCTGAGGCTCCTGACTCCTACTGAGGCAGGGAAGTGGCCCATAACGCAATTTGCCTCTCGTCAACTGAAGAACTGACAGGGAATTATTATGGAATTCTGTCCTCTGGGCATGGCTGTTGCAGTCTTGAGATCGTCTGTGATTACCTGAATGAGACTTTCACAAGACAGTGTCTATAATATTCCCTTGTATGGAAGCCATGTTGTCTGGACACCAGAGGGTAGGTGCACATATGAACCCACAGCACTTGTGACAACATACACAAACACCTGCACAAAACCCAAGTGAGACAAAAACCCAGCATGGATGGGGGAGGTGGGGCTTCCCCAGCCCTAGCTGAGGACCTATGGCAATTAATAGCTACAGAGAGAGGAAGAGTCAATTTTCTTTAAGGGTATGGCTCCTGGTAGGTTGACTAGACTCCTAGGGATAGACTCAAACTCAAGAACATTTGGGGACCACAAATTAGACTCACTGGGCCTTTAAAAAGAGAAAAATAATAGAGGACATGAAGTCAGGAGAGGGATGGTAGGATGGGGGTGGAGAGGGAGGAGACGGGGCGGGGGTGGGGGGCATCACTGGATCCTCACCTGAGACTCCAGCCATTCCTTCCCTTGTGAAACACCCTCCTCCCCACTAGCTGCATGTAATCCTGATTCAGTTGCACATGGTCTTGGGACGTACTAAAGATTATACAGGAAGTAGAGCAGACTGGGGATGGAGACTCTAATGACAAAGCTATTGTAAGTTGTCATCATGTTTCTGTAAGTAACCCAATAAACTCATAGGTTCATCAAGTTGGATCTGGATGAAAATGTTTCTCTGATCCATTGTTACCTTCTCTAAGGTAAATAGGAATAGAGTCCCCAGGAAAAGTCACACAAAAATTAGTACCTGAACAGGGGATATAACAGAACCAAAAATCTGCATCTGCATGGCCCCTGCTATGGGTGATAAGACACACAGGTGAAGTTGAGATGTGCTGAGGGTGGGCCATTCATGGGGGCAAGTCCAGTGTGGCCATGTTTCCTTATTGGTGTGCCACCATGCTCTGTTAGTAGATGTGTGTCTACCTGCTACAGACGTAAGACATGAAACTGAGGCTGAGCTGTCTGCCCAGAGGGAACACCAGGATGTAAAGTCCACAGAGGAAATCCTGGTGAAGCTGTCTTCCTCTATGTGGCATGAGGTGATATGCCTGCCTCCTTGATGAACATTTTGGGGACACAACACCCCCCCACCGCCGCCAATGAATATACTGCAATCCCTGAAACAGCATAACAGCACATATGGAATAAGACTGTAAAACCAAGATGGTAGTTGCATGGCCACTGTTATAGCTGACAGACATGCAGCTGAAGAGGAGCTGTCGGTCCAGAGGAGAATGTGCCATGTAACTCCAGGAAGGAGTTACAATGGGGAAGAGGCATGTGAGGGTCAAACTCCATGTAAGCCTTTGATTTGGGCAGGTCAACTGGATAAAGAAGACATGAGGTAGAGGTACTGGCTTGTTTCTTAAGGCTGGAGAATGGCAAAAGAAAAAGAAAAAAAAAAAAGTACAAATTAAATCTGTGCTAAATCTGTGATCCACAAATGTGGAACCCCTGGGAAGAATGAAACAGTGAGGAGGAAGAAAATGAGGTAGAAATGATAGTGAGGGAACTAGGCATAAGGAAGGCAGGGTGTGAAACCCAGTTTGCTGGACCAGGTAAGAGTTAAGAAGGAAGGTAATTCAGTAGGAGCCGTGGCACTGGTGTGGGCTTCTGTGGCTTTGCTGGCCTCCATGATAGGTCATGATCTTTATGAGGTGGGAGAGGCTCAGGGGGATCTCAGTGGTTTAGACAGGTATGTCAAACAACTTTGTAAAGTGCTAAGACAATCAAAAGGATGAGAAGAAGAAAAAGCAAATAAGAGAACCTATCCAGGAAACGTGAAAACAAATATGGAAAAATTTGTGTCTACACGGAGTTGCTAGAGAAAAACAGACAGAAAGCCAAATGCTATGTTTATGAGCTTCTGGAAACTTGAACAACAGTTTGTAAAGGGGTAGAAGACATGTAGGTGATCCCCAACGTGCCCAGTGCTGAGGGAAGATGTCTTGTGAGGTGGGAACTTCCATAGCCAATTCCCTAACGTAGTAGTCAAGGCTGCCTACAGGTGAGGACCTTGCAAAGCAACCAAGTGCTCCATGTTGAATTGAGAGCCTACTGGTCCCCTACTAATATGCAGAGAAATACTGGGGCGAGGAGTGCCTTGGTTCCTGTCAGCTCCCAGGGACAATGAACATCAGTGGGGTAATACAGGGATAGAATGATGCATGTGAAAAGCTTGTCTGGGGTGGGCAATTATCCCCCCTCCTGTATTCTGTATACATTTTCCTCTTATAAGTATACTGGGGATAGATATTGTTCACCCATCCCAGGGCCCTTTCAGCAACTGGTTGGGGTTAATGGAGAGGTGGTAGCCTTGATAACATACTGGGGCCTGCCAATCCCAGGGAGTTGGCTCAAACAGCAGGTATCCTGTCCTTCCTTGGGCCAGGGCGGGGCAAAACAGCATGAGCTGGCCATACCAACTCCACCAGGGGTGAGGAGATATACAGCTGACCCATGGCAATGTCCCAAGATGATGAAGCAGGATGGCTCATGGAGAATGATTGTAGATTATAGTGAGCTGGTAGTACCTCCCATACACACTGTTATATACATTGCTCTTTTGAGGAAACAACTGATAAAAGCAATGATATCTTTTCAATTTTTTAAAAAGATTTATTTTTATTTTATGTGTATGAGTGTTTGCCTGCATGTATGTGTGTATATCCACTACAAGTATATAATGCCTATGGAGGCCAAGAAAGTGTGTTGGATACCCCCTGGAGTTGGAGTTACAGATGGTTGTGAGTCACCATGTGGGTGCAGGCAACCAAACCCAGGTCCCCTGCAAAAGCAGCAAGTGCTCTTAACCACTAAGCCATCTTTCCAGCCACAGTGTTTTTTAAAAAATATCCCCTCAGTCAATGAATCCTAAGAAGAAAATCTCACTTACATGGAACAGACAGCAGTGGGCATTTGCAGATCCTGCCCACCCCTGTAAAAAAGACTCATTGTGTGGATAACCTCTAGGATATGGAAGAAGAGAAAAAGAGCAGTTAAAGGATTAAAGGGTATCCTGGGATGGGTGCCCCTCCCCAGGGGCAAGGGAAGGCTCCTAAAGCCCTACTATACAGGCTAGACTACTATTGTCTGCACATTAGAACTAAATGATAAGACCCACTGCTGAAGATACCAAGTGTTCTGGTTACAGGACATGGAAGAATCAAGTTGGGACTATGCTAGAAGCTCACTCCCCATTGGCTAAGTTTGTAGGGCCATAAGACACTACATGGGCTGCTGGAGGAGAATGCCACCAGCAGTCCTGTTTGGCTATGGACTCTGTGTGTTAATGCTGTCAACACACCAGGCAAAATGTGCCTGTTGGTGAAGTAACGGTATAATGATTGTAAGTGCCACCAACTACTTTCTGCCTGGGTTTAAGAC